GGGGCGGCGGCCCCGGCGGGGCGGCACATCCCGCTTGGTGCGGTGCATCCTGCGGGGTCAGCCGGGCTAAACCCAGCTTCCCCCGCTGCGGCCTGGCCCCAAAGAACTCCCGTGGAGCAGCGAGTGGAACGTGTTCGCACACCGATCCGGTACAATAAAGGGTTAATTCCCGAACGGCCACAGTTCGGTGGGCTCAGGGCAAGGGGACCGCCGGGCACAGTCACACAGGTGACCCCTCTTGGCTGTGAAATTTCATGACTGGCGCCTGCCCTCTCCCTCCTCCCTAGCCACCTACTGAGAGTAGCCACCTACTCCCCAAATCAGTCTCTTTCCTCTTACCCCGCCAGCGCTTAGTTTCCTTGGGAGCTGCCGGGGAGACTCCTTTCCTTTGAAATTCAAATAACCAGTTTCCCACCTCCCTGGTGTGACTGACTCCTTCAAAGCGCTCCCGCTGGTTCGCCAGGCCCTGCTAACTCTCCTGCAGCATGTTTGCGCTTACCTGCGCGCCCGCTAATTCACTTTTCCTCCCAATTAAGAAACGCGGCCCCTCTGCCGGCCAGCTGTTCACCCACCCGCTTGCACCCAGGAGTGCTCGAGCAAGGGAGAGCTTGAGGGGGACATGGGACATGGGGCAAAAGTTTCCCAAAATTACCTATGATTGAGTTTTCTTGCTCCAGATCACATCTCTGTGGAGGACTGCCCTGGCTGGGTCACATCCAGAGATGCTGCCATGACTGGAGCAGACCCTGCCAAAGCCCTTGGCACATTTTTTGCAGTGCCAACCTCAGCCCGGGGCCAGTGTTGCCGTAACCGCCATCCTGGTCCTGGGTTGTGCCACCCACATCCCTGACTGGAGACGGCGCTAATGACCGCCACAGCCAGCAGTGGGACTGCTCGGCCACAGCACTCCCCACGGCAATCACAGCAGCAGGTGCAATGTCTGCCACTATTTATTGGGTCCACGCTGGCTGGTGCGGTTCAGGGCCTGGCTGCACCCTGTGGGCAGCGAGTTCGGCCATGGAGGAGGGATCCTCTCCTCCTCCCGGGCCTGAGGGCCACAATGGTTGTCTGCCGGTGCCCAGTGCTCTGCCCAGCGTGGCCTGCAGGGAGCTGTGGGTCGTGGGGAGTCCCTCACCGGGTCAAGCCGCTCAGATCCAGCACCGTGCCCCGGTCATGCTGTTGAAGAGACAGTCCCTGCCATTGCCTGAGATGGGAGGCAGCACTCAGCCCTCACCCCATGGGTGCTGCCCGGGCACTGCTGCCCGGTGCCCGTCTCTCCTGTCCCCCAGACCCCTCTGCCCCGAGGAACGCAGCCTGAGGCCGCAGGGGCTGTTGGACAGGGCACTCACGTGGGTCCTGGGCACGGCCATCAAACTGCCCCTGTGTGGAGGAGAGACAGAAGAGGATGCTGAGGGTCCCAGGGTGCCCACCCGCTCCTCCTCGCCACCCTTCTGCTCCTCCACATCCCAGAAGCTGCGGAGGGGATGGGGGGAGGCTACGCCATCAGTGACGGGCCCCCAGCCTCAACTCGAGGGTTGCCAGCCAGGCTTTGCACTGCCAGCTGCGCCCCATTGATCCCATCGCCCCAACCGATTTCCACCTACCTGATTGTCTCCTTACCCAGCCTGTGTGTCCCTGGCATGGCCCTGGGTGCTGAAAGGGATTGTAGCGGTGGCCATGCTCCCCCAAGCACCACCACCTTTCAGCGATGCTCGAGAGCGGCAAGCCAGTCTGCCAGCGCGCCTGCTCGTGTCCCCTTGCACCGGCGCACACCGTTGTTGTGCTCGGAGGATGCTGTGCTGGGGGAGCTGCAGCCCCGGAGCCCCCCTGCTGCCAGCGCTGCCCGCAGGAGCTGAGACCAAGTCTTCTCCTTTTCATGGTCACTACAGCCCTGGTGCCACCAAGCACCATGTCCCCAGCCTCACCAATGAACGTGGATCCAGCCATGCATCACCCTGGGGCAGTTATGCTGCTGGAGGCAGCTGTCATCCTGCCCGCAGGTTTGCATGCCTCCTCCTGGCCGTGCAGGCTCCCAGCGCAGGCTGGGCTGGCTCCAGTGCTTCCTCGGGCTCTCCCCTCCACCGCCTCTCACCCCTGGTTCATCCTCCTGGCAGCCTGCTCACCTCCTCCTGGGGCACCTTCCTCAGCAAATCGGGGCTCCCCCAGTGAGCCACAGTGGCCCCAGCCCCAGCACCAGGCCCCAGCCCTGCAGCAGGCAGCAGCGCCAGCACTGTGCCATCCCACCCTGCCCACCGCAGAGTTTCTGCCCCAGCCTGGCCACCGACACAGCTGTCCCCTGGCCAAATCACCATCTCTGCTCCCATGGCTCCCATCAGTGCTGCACCCTCAGCCTGGGGTAGAGATGGGTCCCCGGCACAGTGACCCATGGACCCAGCCAAACGTAGGGTACATTAATCACCCCCCATGCGCTGCATCTCCCGGCTGCCTGCAAGGACGCTACAGGAGCCTGTGCCGACATGCATGGCTGCCCCTCACTACCGATCCAACCGCCCTGGCCACACAGCACCCACCTCTTGCCCAGGAGCAGCTTGCCAGGGTCTCCGTTGCTGCGAGAGGAGCAGAAGGCGGTCATGAGCCCCTGGTCTTGCTCGCTGTGCCGTGCCATGGCGTACCGTGCTGTGCCACGGGGCTGGGGCTCACCTGCACAGCAGGCTCCGGGCCATGCAGCCCAGGGTGGCCAGCAGCAGGGCACCAGAAACGGTCAGCACAGCCACAAACCAGGCTGGCGGATTCCACACTGCCTCCATCTGCGTGACAACCAGCGGCTCCTTCCACAGCGTCTGCAGAGGCAGTGGGGTGAGGGGGCACACGAGGGCCGGTGGGCCTGATGGATGCAGGAGCACTGCCTGGCCAGTGGGCTCTGCTCACCGTGCGCCGGGTGGTCGTGCTCGGTGGCACCGGGGTGCTCCGGGGGGTGACGTGCACCACCAGTGCCACCACGGTGCTGGGGCGGGGGGCACTGGGGCCACCCCACACCTCCACGAGCAGCACGAAGGTGCGGGGCTCAGCCAGGTCACCGGGGAGGTAGAAGAGGGTGTTTCCCTCCAGCTGAAAACGCCCGTCCTCGTTGCCTGGACGAGAGGGTGTGCTTAGTGCCATACCGCAGTGAGGGGCTGGGTTGTGCTGTGGCTTGGCCACTCCTTACCTCCAGTGATGGCGTATGCCAGTGCGGCAGTGGCGGGGCTGCCCTGGCACGCCAGGCGGGTGACAGGCTGGCGGCTGCCTGACCTGGCCATGATCCACAGCTCCTGCACCTCAGGGGTGCACACCGGTGCCTGGTCCGGCACAGCCTGCTGGGAGTCGGGGGAGGCTGTATGGCACCTGCGGTGCTTCCACCCACCGCAGTTCACCCAACGGGCTTGCTCTCGCACCTGCAGGTGCACAGCCACGTCGCACAGGCGGCTCCGCCGCTTTGCCGGGTCCAGGTCATTGAGGGTGTCTGTCAGCCGCACTGTCAGCCTGTAACTCTTGTGCCGCTGGGAGTCGAGGGGTCCCACCACGCGGATCTCGCCTGTGGAGCGGTGCGAGCTGCTGAGCACCCACGGGTGCCACGGGGTGCAGCGGGGGCTGGGGAAGAGGCTGGGCACTCACCAGTGCACGTGTCGATGGAGAAGGGCTGCGTGGGGCTGGGGCCCCCCTCCAGGCTGTACTCGAGGCTGTCCAGTGGGTAGTCACGGTCGGTGCCGGCCACACGCCCCACGACACTTCCAAAAGCTGCTGTCTCCGGCACGGTGAAGGTGGCACCACTGGGGCACGCCGGTGTGAATTCATTGACAGGCGTCACCGTCACGAGCACGGGCACGCGGGCTGTGCAGCACATGGCAGCTCAGCCATTCTGCCACCACCCTAGAGCCCGCACTGGGCTGGGTGTGCTCTTCCCTGGACAGGCTGGGGGACATGGGGACGGTGGCACCAGGGCAGCTGGGGAGGAACGTTTCCTCTGTGATCTGTTGGTTTTGGGGTCGGGAAGGGCCTTTTACCACCTCCCCCATGACCTTCCCCATTGCACCCCCTCGGGGACATGGGCACTCACTGCTCCATGAGGACTGCCCTCCCACCGTCACCACGATGGTGGCCGTGAACTGGAAGCCCACAGCAGCCACAGCCTCTGAGTCATAGTCCAGGGTGGAGTTGACCTGCCAAGCCAGGGCAGGGCAGGGGTCAGGCAGAGCCAGGGTGCCCTGGAAAGCTGTGATGCCAGGGAAGGCGGGGGGAGCAAGGGGGGGAACTGGCAGGCCTGGGCAGGGCAGAGAGCCCCGGGAGCCCCAGCCCAGGACCTGGCGTGACAGCACATGTCAGATGGTCCCCACTGTCCTGCTGGGCTCCCCCAGGTCCTGCGCGCTGCCCATGGCCCCACTCACCTGCAGCTGCGGCCCCTCCATGCGAAAGCGGGAGCGGGAGGCGGAGGGCCCCTCGAGGGCATAGCGCAGGGCCCCCTCAGTGCCAGCAGGGTCAGTGCACCTCAGTGTCACCAGGGTGCTGCCAGGGGACACCGTCTCAGGCACCTGGGACCTGCAGCAGGGCAGCCGGTGGCTCAGGTCCCATCCCCTGTGTCCCAGGCACAGCAGAGCATCCCCTGCGCCCCACTCCCCCACCCCGAACTGTACACAGAGAGGGCCGGGATGCAGCTTGGCGCCCTCCTGTCCGTTGCCTGCACGGTGATGTTGAGCATGATGGTGGCGTGGTCGGAGGGGTGCAGCGCGTTGTAAGCCCGGACAAGGAGGTGCGCATGGGCCACCTCCAGCTGGCAGGTGCTGCGGATCTTGCCCGTCACTGCAGGAGATGGCACGGCCTCGTGACAGGCACGGAGATGGGGACAGGGTGGCCCTGGAGACCTCGCCGCCCCACTCACTCTCGTCAATGGTGAAGAGTGTGGGCACCGTGGGAGCCAGGATGGCATAGCGGACATTGTCTCCACTGGCATGGACCTCCGTGACCACCTCCAAGGGGCCGGTGCCCTCCGGCACTGTCACGGCCCTCTGCGACTTGCTGCAGGCAAGGCGGGCAGTTTGACATGGCCTGGTGCCACCAGCACCCCCCACCCAGCCTGGCCTCACTCACAGGAAGGTGACACGGGGACGGCGTGATGGCAGCACCTCCACCCTCACGACCCCACTGCAGTTGTGCCCATGGCGGTCCATCACCTCAATCTCCAGCCTGAATGTCTGTGGGACAGTGCCGGGGCGGCCATGGGACAGCCCCAAGTGGCACCAGGGACAGAGATGAGGACAGGAATGGGGGAGACAGGGGTAGGGAGGGGGATGAGGATAATAACAGGGACAGAGACAGGAATGCGGATGGAGACAGGGATGAGAATGGGGCTTGGAGCAGGAACAGGGGTGGGAATAGGGATGGAGATGGGGATAAGGACAAGCTGGAGACCAGAATGGGGACAGAAATAGGGACAGGAATGAGGACTGGGACAGGACTCGAGATGCAGAAGGGGATGGAGCCGGGGATGGGGACAGGGATGGGGACAGGGATGGGCACAGGGATAGGGACGGGGCTGGAGCACTCCCGGGGCCAGGGGGAGACGGGTGCCTGATGGGAGGAGCAGGACGCAGAGCACTGTGGGCAGTGCCAGCGAGGGGCTATGCCCAGGCAGGCTGAGAGGTGGCTGTGACAGCCTGGGGACGCTGCTGCCCACCTGGGTGTCCTTGCTGGGGTTAAAGCCGCCGGCAGGCGCCAGCACCAGGCCCCGGCGTGTGAGTGTGAGCGGCGTGTCGTGGTTTCGGAGCCTGAACTGCAGAGAGACAGGCAGCAGGAGGAGGGTGGGAACCCGTGTCCCCCCCTCCACACCTGGGGTCCCGCCGTCCCCAAGGCTGCTCCCACTTGTGGGGGCTGCAGGACCCCAGGGCAGCTGCCACTCACCGTCAGCCCACCGAGTGGCTGCGGCAGCACCACATACAGGGGTGTCCGGGGTGCCACATCCGCCAGCACCTGCACCACGTCTCCCCCTGCGGCACAGCCCGGCTGTGGGAGCCCAGTGCTGACTGGCAGTCGCAGCCCTGCCACCCCGTGCCCCCCAGCTCCTACCCGTGCTGGCGAAGGGGGCATCACAGCACAGTGTCTGCCCTGCCATCACCCGGACAAAGAGCTGCTCTTCCACCTCGTCCTCGCCAGGACAAGTGGCCCACAAGGTCAGGGTGTACTGGTTCACCTGGTGGGCATCAAGCTCTGCACCAGCACGCAGTGTCACCTGCCATGGGGACACGGCACTCAGCAGGGTGCCCACGGGCTCCTGGTCCCCTCCCCATCCCCCAGCTGCACCTCTGCCTGAAACATGGCGGTGGCCACGGGATCGGCGCTGATGGTGATGGGGTTGAAGGGGTGGCCAGGTTCATTGCTGTGCAGGGTGACGTTGGGGCTGCCGCTCGCATTGCTGCAGGACACGGTCATCTTGGCCACGCGGGTGCCCGGCGCTGCATCCTCACTCAGGGCCACCACGCGTGGCAGGTCAGGCAGGGCTGGCGGGAGACCCCGGGACTGGCCTTGCACCCGGCCAGTGCCACCAACAGCTCGCCCGGCTGTGCTTAGGGAGCCATGCTCCTGCAACCGGGCACCCACACGGGCATAGGTCTCCCTGCCAGGCGCAGCAGGGCCCAGGGCACCCCGCTCTTACCTGTTGCACTGACAAAAGTCCCTGCAAAGAGGAGGGTGTCACCCCAGCCTGCCAGGCGTGTCCCGGCAATGCCCTGGGGAGGCCCTAGAGATGCCCCCATGATGCTCCAGAGATGCCCGAGTGGTGCCTGGCTATGGCCCAGCGATGCCCCCAAGATACCCCAGTAATGCCCTGGCAATACCCTGAGGATGCCCCAGTGATGTCCCCTCCCTGCCTGAACCAGCCAGGCAGCTGCCGCCCCCTCTGCCCATTCTGGGCATCAGCCCCAGACACAGGGGGGCACCTGGGGGAAGCCTGTCCCCTGTCCCCCTCCTTTTGGTCCCCTACTCAGGGTCTAGCAAAGGGTGTCCCTGACGCTGTGAGCTGGAAGTGCCTACCTGGGGCACGGAGGCTGAGGAGGAGGAGGAATGTGAGGCGTCCGTGCATGCCCATGGCTCGTTGGCTGTTTGGGACAAGCTGGAGCCCGTTGCCACGGGTGCTGGGCACCACCCCGGCCCAGCGTCACGCCAGCCACCCGCAGCTGAGAGCCCGGCCCCAGGGCAGGGACAGGGCATGGCCCTGATGCCCCCAGTTCCCGCACACCTCCGCTCCCAGCCTCTCACCATCCCCTGGGTGCCAGCCCCGGCTGGCACAGGGCAGGCGGGCAGCGATGGTCTGCAGGGTTTCGCTGCCGCACCACGCTGCCTCGCCATGCGGCACGCTCAGGAACCGGGAAAATTAGCTAGGAGCTAAGTTTTGGCCCTCTTCTTCATTTGCAAACCAGAGCGGCTTCTCCCGGAATTCCTATTAAGCGCTATTAGCTCCCAATTAATAGGTGCTGGCGGAGCGCGGCCCCTGTGGCCGGGGTCACCTGTCCCTCCTCCAATACCCAAACCGATTTCGGCAGCCCGGTGGCCGCGGGTGCCTCCGCCGGGGCCCTATAACGGGGCTGCCCTCCTTTATCCCGAGGCCCCGG